CCCCTACAGTTGGTCAGTCACTGTTGAGAATGAAGAAGTAGAAAAGATATCCCTAAAAGCAGATTCTGGGACTTCAGTGGGTATCCATAAAATAGTCATACTTGCAACTAAACACAGGCAAAGCTGGGAAGAGGTGAGGGTGAGAAAGAAAATGAAGACAGATTGGATAGGAAGAGGACATTTCAATAGGGGAAATATATGGGAAATAACTTAGCTCAAAGCCCAGAGCTCACAGTGAACCAACAGTTGAAATAGCTTCATGGGGGGAAAAAGTAACAAAATACTAAAATTAACTAAACACAAATAAAAAACTGAGTTCCCACTCTTTCTTGTAAGGCTGGCAAAGAGTCAAGAGTGAAATATTCGGAGTCATTGTGGGTACAATGGAACTTGCCTCAAATACAGCCAGAAGTGGGAATTGGAACAATCTTTCTAGATGGTAAACTGGCAAATATTTTTGAACTTGGCAAATATTTAAATTTGGCAAAGACTTTCAAAACAGGTATCCTTATTGGCCCAAGAGTTCCTTTTCCAACCACCAACAGTAACAGAACAAAATTTTAAAATCAGAGAAAAATTGAAAGCAGGATTATTTCTTACAACAGGAATGGTTATAAAAGTTACAGTATTTATTTTAGATGGAATACAATACAAATTCTGTTTATCAGAAGCAGTTAGTGATATGCGGAAATATCTGCAAAGTTAACTGAGAAAAGCAGGTACGTGGGAGAAGAAATGGACACACAACCAGAGAGAACCAAATGTTCAGTCATTTTCTGTGACCCATTGGATCTGGAGCAATTTATACTAACTTTGCCATATTTTTTCCTTTTCTCTGCGAGGAGAATGTTTTACGTCTGTAATTTGTACAAAGCAACAAGATGCATGTTTCAAAGTTAATGAGAAAACAGGACAGCAGGGGCTTTCCGATGTCCCTTTTCCGGTCCCTTGCACTCTCTGCAAACACCCTGGCCCCGGGGACAGGACACTGGCCGACCAGGGACAGTGAGACCTGCCACCTCTGTGTACCCTGCTTGCCCTCGAGTGCCACCTGGCCCTTGGCACCCGTGCATGCGGGGCCCACCAGGCCCGGCCAGACCTGCCCATGCATCGTGTGTCCTGAAGGAGCAGGAGGCTGAACGATGACTTGGGGTCCGACCCTGCAGGTTTGGCCATCTGTACGGCGCATGGGGATGGGCACTGGCTGTCAAGGCGCTGTATTCTCAGGGTCACAGCAGCATCTGCCTGGGTGACCACTAAGCAGAGGCTTCATAGACATCCCCTCACACCAGCGGGAGATGGGATGGCCATTCAGGTCCCACCGTGAAGGGGAGGAAGTGAGGCCTCTGCTCAGGGTCACGAGATGAGTAAGCACCCGAACCAGATGGCTCTGCAGCCACAAAAGTCTCTCGGGGCGGGGACAGACGGCAGCCCTGCAGCAGTGGACGTCCCCAGCTCTCAAGGAAAGGTCCTGCAGGGCAGACTGTGCGAGCCCACACTGCCACGGCAGACACTGTGCCCGCAGACAGAGAGCCAGTCACTGGGCCGGCGCCCCCACAGCCTCCTGCCCTGAGCTCCTCCTATCCCAGGTTGAATCCCTGTACCTGCCATGTTCCATTCCCCTGAGGCCCATCCCGGCTGAGTCTCCACCCCCAGCCACAGAGGGAAACCTGCGCAGAGCTGCGAATGCAGAAGGGAGACCTCCCCAGGCAGCAGCGAGCGCTGGGCTTTCCTTCACTTTATTCTTATGCAAGCTGTTCTGAGATGCAGACAAGTGTGTACCTATGCGTCTGTGTTTCTTTCTTTTTTAAAAAAATAGAGGTCAGTTTAGCAAAACAAAAATTTAATGAAAGAATCACTTTAAAGCGCACGAGATCATGAAGAAGTGTTCTCCCCTTTCGGAATATTCTGAGAGCCTAATAGTCCTACAGGCACTTCACAGGACAAGGTCCACAGATTCGGCCGTGCCCAATTCTGTGTCTCAGGGCACTGAATCAGCTCTGCCCACCATGAGCGCGCACACACGCGCACACACACACACACAGCCAGGCAGAGGCATCTCCACCCGTAGACGCAGCCTGGGCTGAGCACCCCGGGAATGCAGGCAGCATGACCCTTGCACACAACGACCTCAGTGCACTTGCGGGCCAGGACAGAAGGGGACCAGAGCTCTGTGGGACTGGCCAGCCACAGAGCAGGGTGGCAGCACTTTGCACCTGGCATTTCTTCCACCATCCCCAACTCTTCTCAAAGTAACAAAACCATTCACTGCCACCTTAACCCAGGGGGTGGGTGAAAATCACAATGATAGTTATGAAACTCAATAATCACAGACATCAAGATCAGCTTTCTTCCTTTTACCCTGTTGTAATGCACTCCCTGCATGCAGGATGGCAACAATTTCCTGAGCACCTATTATGCGCATGTGTGATGTACAGAAAATCAGTATGTTTTCAGATTAATCAGACTGGCTTCCCATCATTTGGTGTTTCAATTATCATCCAACTCTCCAACCTCTGTTAATTCAAAACAACAACAGAAAGTAACTTCTTTGGGCAAGCCGCCGAAGCACAGATCATGGGCCCTCCAGTCTTGACAAAGTGTCCCTAGTAACTTGCCACATCCTGTCCAGTTCTTAAGTTGGGGCCCAAGCGAGCTGCTATCTGCTGCTTGCTCTCTCTGTGTCCTTCCACGTAAGGCTCCAAGACAAGATGACAAGAGAAGTCTCCCTCACATTCCAGTTTCAAGATTCAGCTCTAGAGTCAGGCCCTGCAACCTTTCGGGGCTCAAGGGTAGAGTGGTATTTCCATTGTAACTGTGTTATTTCCTTTGATGCCTTTAAAAGCATTATCTGAGAAGTGATCATAGACTTCATCAGACTTCCCAAACGGTAAATGGAGTTATAAACAAGATCAGAAAAGTCTTTGGCGGTTGGATCCAAACTCCTAACTGACATTCATCGAGTCATAAGAAAACCACCCCACTTCTTGGAGTCTGAGAGCCAGCCCCACGCTTTTTCATAGAGAAGGTGCCCGGGTAGAGTTGAGCGCCTCTCTTGGTTGTCAGACCAAGAAACCCGGGAAGCATCAGAACCTGTCCAGTAACTGCTACATACAGGGTCCTCGGCTTGCTGGCTGAGAATTCTTAATCAGAACTCAATCTGATCTTAAAATCCAAGCACACTCAGGGATAAATGCAAGCTCCCAAGATTTCTTTACTTCTTGCAATTCAAACATTTTGTTCCCAATTTCAAATAACCAAGGGAGGATTATGGGAGAATCACAAAAGCAGGACAAGAATAATTAGCTTTTCAAAGTGCCCCCACAGGGTCTTCTGAACATAAATGCAAGAAAAAAAATAACCCCGCGCAGATGGGGAACACCAAATCAACAAATTCAGAGGATCTGATACCTGATGGATGGAGTGACTGATTTCCTGGAACAACCAGAGAAACAGAGTGCATTTGGGGCTGAAAATTGCCTGTATGGGGGCTGCTCCGCACTGCCACCAGGCAGCTGTAATTTTCCCTATGCTAACTGAGCTGTGCACTCACATAATTAAAACTGTAGTCAACAGACTCAAGGCTCCTTCCTTCCCCTCTGTATAAACATGGCTCAAAGTCATCTCATTGCTTGGCCCAGGAAATCTCATCGAAGCATATCTTCAAGGAAGTCACCTTATAAGACAGGTGATTGTAGCAGAGGGCATTTACAGAATTCCCTTGAAGTCATTTTAAAAGTTCCCTTGGGAGATATACAATATACATGTAAAAAAATGTTAAATCAAGCATTGTCTCCTAATCATGTGTAAACTTTTTCCCAAAAGTTTATTCTGAGAATCACAACACATTCAAACTTCAAAAAACAACTTTAGAGCATGATAAATGTATAATTTAAATTTAACAGTATAACACATTTGTGTGTTTTACAAAATGTACCCCACCTTCTACAGGATGCTCTGTTATTTCCATGCCCTTTGATGCACTGATTTTGGTGGGGGTGGGAGGAAACATATAAGCTTCTACTCAAGATTTCCAAAGAATATTTAATTATTATAAAATATGGATAAAATTAAGAGTAAAAATAAGAACAGAAAGTATAGCATTTGTGGTTACAGGGACAAGTGATTTCTATTCATTTGGCAGAAAGCGGAGTACATCAAACCTCCAATTTAAAAATTCCTGTCTAGGATGACTGTTTTTCAGGCGACCCCAATCCATGAAGTCAAAGAGAGACAAACTATAAATCTTCGGCACATGTATATTTAAATATACTATCGAACACATCTTGAGACCTAAACACTGAACAGAACTTCAGTTTACCTGGTGGGTGTTAGCAAATTTCTAACACAAACATTTTAAATCATGAACACCAAGCCAAGGAGGACTTTTGAAAATCCTCCAATTTGGCCCAATTCTGAGAAAACTCCCATTTCCAAAGGCTTTCGAACTGACTGAGATGCTTGACAGAAACAATCACTTTTCACCTTTATATAGCAAAACTAAAGACCGGCAACTCATAAAACATTGTTTTTCTCCCCTCCCATTCTCTGCCAGTGCTGCTGATTTTTCTCATTCCTACAGTGGCACTGAGGCCTGGGGGCCTGGAAAATATTTTAGTAGACTCACTGCCTCATAGACTAGGCCAGAAACTCCCACTAGCCATGAAACCTGTTTCCTTTCCAGGAATCAGCCTGCATTTAGCTTTCTACCTAGACAGGTTTACTTCCGTGTCAGGCTCTACATACCATCCACTAGAAACACTTTCAAACATCCCGGCAAATAACCCAAGCCCAGAGCACAAACACGCTATTGCCCTCCAATCTCACCAAACCAACATCACTGGGAAGAAATCTTTCTGACAGTGCAGAGGAGTAGGTATTTTATTAACGGCAAACACATAACCCAGCGAGCTGAATCACCGCCACCTGAGTTAAGAGGACCCTCAGTTCTCAGCACAGAGGTCCCAAAAACCAAGCCAACGTTCGCACTGTCCCATTACCGACGGCCACTTGCTCAGTGTCTCTTCCTTTCCGCCGGGACCGGCTGGCATGCCTGGAGCCAAGGGGTCCCTGAAGAGAATCCAAAAGCACAACGCGGACAAGCCCGTCTTTTTCTTTAATCCTGCCCTCCAACCTCTGCGATTCCATTGCTTTGAATCAGACCCGCATCCAGACACCGTCAGGGACAGGTAAAGAATCAGAAAATTCAAGAAGTGCTCCAAAAAGCCTTTGCAAAAGTAATCCACAGCACTCAGCAGTGAATTTAGAAACCCCAATTTTTTTCTGAGTTTGAAGTTTTTAAGCCTTGCGGATGGTTGGAGTAGGAAAAAGGAAATTTACTAGGCAGTGCAAAGGAAATCTTGTTGTCCTCTATTGTGGTAGGGGGGGTGTTGCCCAACCCTAACTTATCTGCTTGATAAAGGAAACCAAAGAAAGTGTAAGAAGAACAAGCCTTTGTCAAATGAAAAAGAACCCTTTCCTTACCTTAATAGTGCTGGCCATAATGCGATCAAGTTTATTGATCCTTAATAAATGTTAATAATAATTATTGCTTCTCTCTGACCAGAAAGTAGTTTTGATGAGGTTGTATAGAGCGGATGAGATTGTGCTAAGTCTGGGAAATGAAGTCAGCCAATAGCAGGAAGAGGTTTCTATTGGTCCTGGCCGCCCAGCCTGAAGAAACAGGATATTTGGGAGTGGAGAGATAAGAGACCCTGAAAACAATGTTGTTTTTCTTGATGATATGCAGCCAGGAGATTTTTTTTTAATTAAAAAAAAAAAAGCATCAATCGCTCAGGACTGGGACTGCCACAGCAGGTGTGACCAGTGTGACACGCAGCACCGGAGCGGGGCAGGATACAGATGTGGCCTGACTGCATGGCTTCACATGGAGAGGGACGCGGAAGGCACCGACAGCTCAGGGGCCCGGGCTTCTCAGCCTGCTGCTCCCCGGAAGTGCCACCAGGCTGGGACAGAGGACCCGCACGACTTTCTCCTTAAAGGGAAACTGCAGGTGGGACTTCATCTCTGTCCCTAGATGGTCATGCTTCATAATGGCCGTTTGCTGGCAGATTTTCACCCACCTTGACTTATTCAACATCTCAACCAAATGTTCTAGAACCGTTTCATTTCCTCCTTCCAAACCCTTGTCGTTTGCTCCACAAAGAGTGAGTTGAAAATGCAGACTCTAGAATCAAAGGAACCAAGAAATATAAGAAAAAAAAAAACCTGTCGATGTTTTGTTTTGTTTTCAAATACGTAATTAAAATTCAAATAATTCAAATTGCCACGAAAGGTTTAGAACGTCAGGGAGCGGGTCCCACTCCCACAGATGTCAACCCCGATAGTGTTCTTGGCGACCCACAGCAGCCACCTGAAGATCTCATTAAGGATTTCGAACCCAGGCCGCAAGTTCAGGGCCGTGGGGCTGTTTTGCACTGGAAGGAAGTCCAGCTATTGCAGGCCTGGACATTCCTTAGAGGATTTCAGGCCTTTAATTACTCATTTTCAGGAAATTACTTGTTCCGTGGAAGAAATAACAGTTTGCTGTGAATCTCGCTACACCAGAGAAGAGGTGTGGTCTCAAGAGGGACCCAGCGAACACAATAGTGCTAACAGAGGAGTTGTTCAGTGACCCGACTGCATTCAGACTGAGGGCTGCCTACATCAGAGGCCTCAGTCCAGAGCCCGGACCGAAATCTCCCCAAGCCACCCACGTGTTAGGATGGGAGAAGAGAAAGACAAGGAGGAAAGACAGGGTGAAGATGAGGACACAACAAGGAAGAGGGGCAGAAATGGAGAGGGGAGAGAGAGAGAGAGAATAGGAAGTCTCCTTGTGTGTAAAAGCCAGAAGTTGCTAAGATCTTGGCACCTACATTTTGAGGGGATGCCTGATGTCTGCTCTTTTCATCTCTGAACAATGAACAAGATGGTAGTTGATTAAAATTGTGTTTCCCCTAAAATTTCAAAGTCTTACAGTTGTTTTATCTGGGCAGCTTCCATTACAATTCAGGAATGCTGAGGAAATAAAATAACCAAAATCAAAACAAAACCAAAAAAACCAACCTCTCTAGGCCCAACAAGGTTCCTGGCTTTTTGTTCTCCCCTAAGAACCGTTATTTTAAAAACGTGAACTGTTGGTCCCCAGTAAACAGCACTTCTTTACGGGTTTACCAAACACTGGCTTTACAGCAATGGCAGAAAATTCTATGTGTCCTTTCTCCCAACATGCCCTGGTTTCTAACAAAGCCCTTTACTTGCTCTCTATAGCAAGAACAACTTTTTTTGTGGTACGAGAGACTGAACCCAGGGCCTTTACACAGGGCTACATCCCCGGCCCATGTTTTACTTATTTATTTTTTATTCTGAGACAGGTTGTCGAACAGTTGCCAAGTAGCCAGGCTGGGATGGAACTTGTGATCCTCCTGCCTCAGCCTCTTAGAGTGCTGGGATTACAGTCATGCTCCGCCACCCCTGCCAGCACCAGTTATTTTTATGGATGGATGATTCTTCAGGTATGACCTGCCTCTACCCCTTGGCTCTTGCCTAATTCAAATCAAATTGCCAAGAGTGAAATTTTTTAAGTCTTCATTTGAAAATAATTTCAAATGTTCAGAAAATTTATAGGTAATAGAAAAATTCTAACACCCCTTGCCTAGTTACTCCAAATGTTATCAATTTTCATCATTTGCTTTGCTTCACCTTTCTTATACTCTTTCTCTCTCACATTTATATAAAATGCACAAATCACTTTTTAATTGATGCAAATACCATATTATTAGAGACTTAATTTCTTTGCTTGGATACTTACAAAAAGAAACCAGATGATGTTATTTGATCTATCTCCTCAAGAGTCTATCCATATGTCTCATGGTGTCTAATTTCAAAAATACATAAAAATGTAAAAAGTGATCTAATAGGATGCTAATTTGGTAATCGTGAGTTTAAAGCTCTGTACAAAATTTTAAGAGGCACATCTTCCTCATTGTTAAGGACACGGTGTTTGACTGGTTTCCATCAGCTTCAAAGAGAATAGTCCCTGATATCCAGAACAACATCCTAGCTCCCAAGTCGGGTAATCTTGGACCATTTACCACAAACATTTTTGTAAACTCTGATTGGCTACTGAAGGTATGGGGGAGCCTCTGAATTAGCACTTCGCAGCATTGTTTCCCACACATCATCCTAGGAGGAGCTCTTGGAAGATGGAGAGCTCGCTCAACTCCTCTTCCTGTTAAAAGGCTTCGGCCGTGGAGCCCCAGGACTCCGAGGTCTGGCTACCTTTACACCCACAAGCCACCCCTCTCAGGGGAAGCTGCCGCTGGCTGGGCAATGCAGCTGCTGACCTGCACCTGAGGACCATTCTGGTCTGAGCCGCCAAGACAGGCAGGGTCCCTCTCACCCTCCCTGACATCCAGGAAGTCCCTCGCTGGACCAGCACGGCCACCCAGGGCTGTGGAGTGCAGCACCATGAGCAAACTGCATCTTTCCATTTTCTCATTATCCATCACGAATCCATCACTCAGGAATTCACAAGACCCGGCCTCAGTGTGTGTTGCTCCAAGTAAAAAAAGAAGATAATGTAAAATGCAAAGACCTTAAAGACACTGTAACAATAGAAGAACCAGTATTGTTTATTTTTCTTAAGCCATGTCTTCCTGTTTTTCTGAAGGTTTACAAGCTCTCATCCTTGCTCTCTTGTTAACTTCTCTTTGAAATGCTGGGAAAGAACACTTTAGGGGAGAGCAATATAGCCCTAAGAATGGTACAGCAAGACGAATAAAGACACGCAGCTTAACTGGAGATGCAAATCAAGTTTCACGACTTATTTATTTATCTTCATATTAAGCACTTTTATAATGAATCTGTCATCATCAGTATAAACTCTGCAAGAAAATGATGTAGTAGATGAATATTTAGTGATAGGGAAAATTGTTCTAGCTCACTGCTTGGTCAGTTAAAAATCACCTTCTAAGGGAGAATTCTACCAAAGACCTATTTTGTTAAAAAGGGAAGGGCAAAATAAAAATGTCAGCAGGCTACATCTCATAATATTAATAGTAGAGAATTTCCTCCTTTTTGTTTTCCCCCTTTGCTTCCTCTGCATTTTCAAAACATTTATGAGAAGCAGAAATTATATTTTAATGTGAAAGCTGTGTAATATGTAGTGTTCTGTTTTTGTAAACATCTGAGAAATGCAGAGGTGTTCTGTACAACGCAGGCACAATACCTACTGTTGTCAGATGCTTTATGCCTGCGTATCAAAAGCCATGCTCCTTTTAAAATGTCTACAGCAAGAATAGAATTATTCTTTTCTTAAAATGACTTTTGTATGAAGGGCTGTGACAGTCCTGTGTTTTGGGGTGCCCATCTGTCCAGCATTAATCCACGCAGTGCTAGGCGCCCGGGAAGCTGCGACGGCAGGGCTCTGTCCCCTCCCCTGGCCAGGGGATTCGGGAAGCCTGTGTCAGATCCTCACACTCCCCACGCATGAAACTCCAGGGCTGGAGCCCCCTGTGAAACAAATACAGGCTTTCAGAAGGCAAAACAATAGGACAAAAATGCTATCTATTTTCCTTAAGATGACACAGGAATCTTAAAATGCATCATGTTTGGATTATTCATGGTGTCCCTGCAAGAAGGACTTCCCGAGGATCAGGATCTGTGCCAGGGACGTGCCTGGGCCTGCAGATAAGGACCAAGCATCTGGAGCTGCCCGGCAGTGGAAAACTCCAGCCTACAGTGGAACTTTCCCGTCTCCGTCCGTGGGAGGACCTGGGAGGCATTGCTTCAACAGGTCCCCAGTGGCCAGGGCAGAAAGGCCGCTTCTCCGCACACAGCATGCTTCACCACGGCAGTTCCACTCCCCTGGGGAGGAGCTCATGAGTGTGTGTGTGTGGGGGGGTTCACCCTGTCCCGGGCAGCACCTTAAGAAACGGTCCGATTACAATGAATAGCCACCGTTTCAACACTTTGCCTGGCTGATCCAGTCCTCTGTCTCGTGGTTGGTCTGAACTAATCTAACCCAAGGAAATTGTTTTCACACACCAAATCCTCAACTTCTCCACACCAAGGTGCAATTTCCCTAATTTTGAAGCACATGTCGGTTCTATAGGCACGAATGAAGCAATGATTTCAATAAACACCGTTTCATAAGCAGCCCACAGAGTCTCAAGTTTACGCTCACTTTGCTCTTTCTCAACCCATCTGGCTCTAAAAATGCAGGAATATTAAAAACCACTCTCTGGGGCCCTAACTATGTCAATGTATTATTCATGGTTTAAAAAAAAAGAAGAAAGAAACCTAAGCCGAGAGCCATTATTTTGACACACTAGTTTGACTTAAAGGAACTTTTAAGTTTCCTGCTTCAATTACCGTGCTTCTACATATGATTTGTGAACAGTTAAATGCATTTCAAAGTCCTTATCCATAGCGCTAGGTGGATCCAAACACAGGCTTCAGCCATGCACCGCCCCTGTCCCTCGGGCTTGGCCTGGCGACACCATGAGTAGCTTGAGAGTGCACAGGGCGGCTGGCCATCCGACCACCCCTTCCCCTGCCCAGGTCCTGTCCTGGCCACCATGCTTGGCTGTCCTGAAATTTTATCTTGGGCTGCGGAGATCCACCCTGGTGTTGATCACTAGTCAGAACTTTAAATGATTCTTAAACAGCCCACCTACCTCCCTTCTCCGATACTGGAAATCATCATTTGTGTTTGTTTTGGCCTGTCATTACTTTATAAATTATTTTAAAAAGACAGATTACTTCTTGAAGAAAGATAATAAATGGCACTGTAATGTTATTCAATCAACGGAAAATTACAGAGAAGTCTGCATTCAACAACTGCACCTGTTTTTCTCTTAAACTGAGTTGGCCTTTATCTATTCCACCAGCCTTCAATTCAATGATTTATTTGCTAATTCACTAACAACACAATCGCATTCTGCAGTGCAGCCAAGGCAGAAAGTATCCATCATTAAGGCAGAAAGTATCCATCATTAACTCAGTTAATCTCGGGGAGTTTCCTGTGGACCTAACTAACTCTGCGCTGGGCTGTGAAGCAGGCATAGGGAATCCCCAAGTCTACATCCCTGTGGTTGCTGCTTTCTTGAACCCTCTCAGACGCTCCTTACCGGACCTAATAGGCCACGCTGTACCCTGTCTACACGGCCTCTTCGACCACAAGGCATGTGCAAGATTCGAGAGTGCAGCTGAAATCCAAGCAGGCGGGTTCTTTCTCAATCTGCCCACAGGAAAATGTGTTTAATCCTTCTTCAATAAACGCACTGCACTGGATTGAAGTTATGACGTCACGTGATCTGTCATCTGATCCCAGCACAGAAAGGCTGCGGGACAACTGGAAATGCTATTTCTGGGTGCACCGGCAATGACAGCCAGCAGAGAGCATGGTTTCCCACTGTCTGGTGGATCCTACGCTGTCCTTTATTTATAGCTACAAAAACAATCCAGCAAGAATTTTAGGAAGTAACCACCTACTGCCCAAAGAACTACTCTGCTCTGTTTGCTAGCAAGGACCCTGCCTTGAGCCTTCAGGAGAGGTCTCTTTGAACCACTCACGTTGACGACAGTAGAGGGCGCTAAGTGTCCCTCTAAAGGCCCTTGGAGAGTCCGGACTCTAAATTCCTGAAATTGGTGTGATCCTACAAAAGCTATCTCATTTTTATCCATGAAAATTAAATCCAAGACTCATAACGTAGAAAAAAATTTGAAAAATTTCAACTGGATATCATTACAGAACATAAGGAACTGCATGTATTTTCAAAGGAGCAAAGGTAAATTACACAAAGCTCTGCACACTGGACTAAAGGCACGGTACGTTGGGAGGTACTGCACTGTGGACACTGTGTAACTGCTCTACACCACTATTACAATTCCAAACCTCAAAAAATTATTCCTCTTCACAGTAATTCAAGATGCGGCACTGTACAAGAGGTGATCAAAATATATGAATATTTCATTTAAAATGCAATATAGTAAAAGCCACATTGCTATTAATCCCCCTCCCATTCACACTGGATACACTTATCACTCTTGTCACTTTCCGAAGCAGCTCTGCAAGTCTTCTGTGTCTTTACCATGTGTGATCAAAAATACAGTGAATGCTGCTACCGAGTACCATCACCCGAAAGGCAGCTCAAATAAACATCACAGTGTGCCCTCCTCCACCTTGTTCACCGGCTCTCCACTAGGCAACTTCTGGATCTTCCCCAAAGTCAGAATATTTTGAGTCAATTCAGGACATCAAGGCAGCCAGGACAACACAAGTACAGACTCTCTCAAGAGAGGACTTCCAGAACTTCAGAAAGTGGCAAGAATGATGTGTTCACAGTGGGAATCATGGCAAAGTAAGTTATTGTAATACATTTTTAAAACGCGCATCCTAGCTTTTCAACCATATTTCGTATGTCCCCAGTGCAAGCTGCATTCCATGACAGCACAGTTCAGAGTGCATTTGTTCTGTGTGTACACAGTGCTGCCTACATGGCAACACTGGGAGTCCTGCAGAGCTGGGACCTGCGGACGAACTTGGATCACACTGCAGTGCATCCAATGGGAAAGCCACCCTGCAGAGCCCAGCAACACTGCACAGCTGGGGCCGCCCAGGGCATGTGAGGCTGATGTCCCTTTCAGCAAGTGGGGCCCACAGGGACGGCTGGGAAGGGCAGCTGCAAAAGGACACCAGTGTGACTTTCTGATCCCAGAAGCCTGGCTGCTGGCAATCAGGCTGCCCCCTGCTGCATCCTTGCTGCTCAGTGACACCAAGAAGATGTTTTTTTGTGCCAGTTTCCCATTGCTCTGCTCAGCGGGTGGGTGGGAGAGGAGTCTGCACTGTGGAGGGGCCCCTCTGGCCCCCGTGACCCTCACAGACAGCAGCAAGGCCCCCTGGAGCCCTGGCAGTCACCCTGAGGGCTCACACCCAGCATTGCATGAATGAAGCACACTGTAGTGCCTGGAAGTGAGATGTCAGTGACTAACCCTCAGGGACCCAGAGGGCCCAGAGTTTACCTTGAACTTGGGACTCCCCAGGCCGAGGGCAGACTGTGGACAGCAACCAAGGCTATGACAGCGGTCAAGTGCTGCTCACCTGAGGGGTGGCCAGGGCTGGCTGTGGCCACACCACCAACCCTTCTCTCAGTGCTGAAAGGAACATGCCCATCTGTCCGACTGCCTGCTGAGATGTCCGCTGGCATGTAGGGTGTCAGGTGGTAGGAAGATGGGAGCCCCCCACTCACCCACATACACGGTGATGAACAGATGAGAGAGACAGAGAGAATCTACCAGCCCAACCCACCCCACACCCAGGTCCTGTCTGGTGTGTCCAGCTGCAGCCTGGTCCCTTGGGAGCGGCCTTTCTGTGAAATCTCCCCACATCGGTCACATAGAAGTGAGGAACAGAAATGGTCTCTAAAAGGGTGTCCAACTTTACATTCCGGATTTCTGTCTCAGTGAGTGTCCCAGCTGTACCCAGGCGTGAGTGCATAGTCAATTTTTTAAAATACCGAATAAATGAGCACCCATCTTCTATTTTACCCATTCTGTGTTGTTTATAGCAGATTCATTTGAATTTTGATATAGAAACATAGCTCCCAGCCAAGTATGGTGGCGCACACCTATAATCTCAGTTCTCTAGGGAGCTGAGGCAAGAGGATCTCAGGTTCAAGCCCAGGCCTGGGTGACAGTGACTTAGGGAAGCCCTGTGTCAACATGAAAAATAAAAAGAGCTGGAGATGTAGCTCGGTGCTAAGGCCCTGGGTTCAATCCCCAGTAAAACAAACAAACAAACAACAAGCTCCCATTTGCATGCGACTTAGCACTTGCAATTTTCCAAAGTAACCCTGCCTAAGATTATTTTCAGCTAATTTCTTTCAGCAACCCTGCTGGCTTCTCATGCTCTGCTTAGAAACCATGAGAACGGCCCATGCACTGCACCCTAGCACTGGCTGTATCACTATGGCAACTGAGCTTCCCATGTTCCAACCTAAGTCTCCGTCAAGTCTGCCCTCCTACAAGGTGGCACTGACACTGCTCCTTCCAAAGGTGAAGGCCAGGTGCTCACTGTCACACCTGGGTGGGCCTCTCCAGTCTCAAGAGGTCAGCTCCACACCTTCCAAGGCCACCTCCACCCGGTGTTTCGGTACCCACTAAACTTTACTCTCAGCTACCCTGCTGGGCAGCCTCCTCAGGCAGCATCACATGGTGGTCAGTCCCAGCCCTAGCCACTCCCAGCCCGCAGAGCTGCAAATGAGGGAAGCTTCCAGATGACTTCAGCCCCCAGTGCTACTTGACTGCACACATGCATGAGACTCTGCACGAAAAACACTTATCCACCTATTCTTTATGGCTGAATAATATTCCATCCTGTACACATAGCAGTTGTCTCTATTGGTTCACCTGTTGATGGGCATCTAGGCTGGTTCCGAGCTTAGTTATTGTGAACTAAACTGCTAAAAACATGGGTGTGCACGCGTCACTGTAAATATGATGTCTTCAACTCCTTGGGAAGACACCCAGAAGAGGTACAGCTGGGTTAGATGGAATTTCTATCTTTATTTTTTTAAGGAATTTCTATACTGAAGTCCATACTGGCTGTGCTAGTTTACATTCCCACCAGTAGTGTAGAAGGGTTTCTGTCTCCCCACAACCTCACCAGTATTTGTTGTTTTTTGTGCTCTCGATGACAGCCCTCTGACTGGGGTTAAGATGGAGTCTCAGAGTTGTTCCATTTGCATTGCTCTAAGGCCCAAGGATGACAAATATTTTCTCACGTACTTATTAGTCGTTATGGATGAACTTGAGACTTTAATGTTAAGTGAAATAAGTCAGACACCGCAAGTTAAATAGCATGTGGTTTCTCTTATACAAGCAACCGAAAAGAGGTAAAATAAAGGAGATGGTAGGAAACAAAGCGGCAGACATTTGGACATGGAGAATGGGAGGGAGAAGAAGGAAGAAAGGGGAGGGTAAAAGGACCAGAAATGACAGAGACACGCTGGTTCCCCAGAATGAAGGCAACTATTACACACTGCGAACATACAAAAAAAAGACAACGACGATCACAAAGAAAAGACATTTTTTAAATGTATACACATTTTAAAGATACCTGTCTCCACGCAACCGCCTCCTGGGAACAAGAATGGTAACAATAAAATGCTCCTGTGCTTTGCAGCCCCTGGGTTCCGAGTGATCTATTACTCCGCCGCAGGTGGCTGGAAGGCCGACCGTCAGACGATGCCGGCCTCGAAAGACGTATCTGCTCTTCCTCCTTGATTCTTCATCCAACCACAAATCTTCACAGGCATCGGCTCCACGCTAAGCCCGGGGCAAGCACTGAGGATGCGGAGAGGAAAAGCAGCTTTCACCCAGAGAAGAAAGGACAATTTCCACATTAGCTGGAGGGGAAAGGATGCCCAAACCACAGCAGCACCGCGACCCCAGAAAGAGGACACCGGAAGCGAACACCAGTAGCGCGTCCCTCTCCATTCCCTCCCCCTCCCCCTCCTCCTCCTCTCCTCGGAGGTGCAGGTGCCTGGGATCCTTTCCGCCCTCCAGAGATTCTCCCGCTCCGACCCAGTGCTGGTCCTCCGGCCTCGCCGGTGCTGCTGGTGCTCAGTCGGAAGACTCGATCCCGCCATCCATGTCAGATCACTTTCCCTCCGAGGAGATGTGGGGACGCCTCCACGGCCCGCCCTGGGACTCCACAGCAGTGGGGGTGGAAATGAGCAGCGCAGGGAGAAGAGGACTCATTCCCCTGAGGTGCTGAGAAGGAAGGCATTGGCGCCCAGAGGGGGACGTCAACGTGCCCTCTGGGCCACAGCTCCTGGAAACCCGGGGCTCGGTCGAGGCTCCCAGGATGCTGTGGGGATCCCGTGGGTCAACGCTGCCTGTGACTGTGACGGAGCCACCGGGAAGAATCCAGAGTGAACCCTGCTAACCACGTGACAGCGTCGCGGAGGGCAGAGGTCACAGACGCCAGGGCACACAGCGGCCGCCATTGTGGCAAGACCCAGTCTCAGCTGGCTTCTCCAAGGGAGCCGAAGAAACTCAGGAGTGCTGCGTAGAATTCTTCCCAAAGGCCTAGATTCATCTTGAAGGGTGGTAGGTTATATTATATTTTTCTTTTTTTCTTTTTGTAAGATGCCATTTCTTTCTTCTTATGATTCACAGGCAGGCCTCCAGGGGCTCAACCGATCCTCCTGCCTCGGTCTCCCAAGTAGCTGGGGCTACAAGCTTATGCTTGATCCTGGCTCATTTTTAATCACAAACTCAATTCTTGTAGACAAAGCATTACCGCTCTGGCCCCATTCTGCTGGGGGACCCAAATCTCACCTCCCAGACGGGGCTAGGACTTGAGCTATTTAATTCTATATGACTTAAAGCTGTTCCGAGTTTTTCATCAGGAATGGAAAGCATTAATGTGTCCCACACGCCACTCTCTGTTTTATGGAATTCTTGCACTGGGGAGCTCTTTTTATTTTATTATTTTCTTTAATAGCCAGAAAACTGGGAAGTTCACAAAGAAATTTTTCAACTTCCTTCAGTGACCCTTAACCTAAGAGATTTTGCCTAATCTGTAAATTGGAGTTAAAAGTGTTTCGTACCTTTGGAGTGGGGGAGCTTGTTGTCCTTAAAGGAGCAGGGAGACCACTAACAATGGGGCTACAGAGACTTTCTGCCCCTTTGTCAGTTTCCGCAAACCGAAAACAGATGTGCAACATCAGCGCTACCTTCTAGTGACCCGGGGAAGTGGAGGCTAATCCAGATCATTCTTAATAACTCAAAACTGCCACCTCTTAACCACCTAATTTTTTTCTCACTTACAAATGCAAAGAAAAGAATTGATAGTGCACACTAAAATTCATTTCCCTCCAACCGCATACACATTTTCTCTGATAAGAGCCAGTAATAAGACCTCTTTCCTCTAAACTGTACGGCTCTCATCTGAGTAGTATGCCTTGGTTTAGGGGATCAACCTCTTCAACCAGCCAAGATTTGGAAGGAGAGAAATTATACGGAAAATGAGATGTTGCTGTCATGACCCGTTCCCAGAATTCAGAAAGTACAGCAATCCTCGGATTATCAAGCTGTCTATAAATGTAAGTGAATATAGAAGGTTTAGACTAGCAACCCTAAAAATGTTTCTCCAACATTGAGCCCATGTTAATTTTAAATCATTTTCCTGAATTTAAATGTAATGAATATAAGTAAAGGAGAAAAAGCAATAGATCCAGAAATGATCTGTGACTTCCCAAATGAAGAAATTGATGATCGGCACAAAATTTGAACTTTGTATCAATACTATGTCTATTTACCAAGTCCAAGAGAATCATTTTAACAAAAAAATATATAAAGTTGTTTTAGATGCTAAATATTATTTTTTTAACCCAAGGTAGATGGCATGTAGGTGCACAGCTAGACACAGGTTGATTTTTAATGCCCACAAATACAGCAATTACAGTGCCACCCTACACGTGGGACTTTGGATTCCTACACAGAAATTAGATTTATACAGAGTTGAGGTAACAGATGAGACACAGTCATGTTATTCTATTTCACCAAATCTAAGACTGGATGTGGCAACATACAAAACATGCATCACTTAATGAAATAATTCCATAAATTATTAAATCATTAAAAGAAATAAAAATGAAATAATAAGAAAACAATAATGAAATAAATAATAATTGGTGGGATACAAATTAACAAAAATAAGTAATTCAATAAATTATTAAATAACACAAATTCTGTCCATCAAAATTAGCCGTAATATTCCCTTATTCATCAATGGAAGATATACCCCATAAATATAGACCCTAAATTTAATGTGGTATACAGATAGAAGAAAAACTCCTGAGAACACTATAATGTTATTAGGAACAGGCTGTAGGGCTCCTCAGCCTTTGGGGCTGGATAACCCGTGGTTCTGGGGGCTGTCCTGTGCACTGTGGGATGTTTCCTAGCATTCCTGCCTTCATTTACCAGATACCAGTTACAGCCCCACCAAGCAGAACTGTCCTCTGCACTGCTCAACACCCCTGGGGTGACAGCAAAATCATGTTGGTTTGGATGGGCACAAGTCACCCTCACAAGTGTTCACATCTACAAACCATCTAATAAATGTGAAAGTAAATCAAGATAAGGAAACTAAAGCAATATATTGGGCTTATCCAGGTGACAAAATGAAAAAGTTTAGTATTTTGCAGCACTGGCTAGAATACAGAGGAAAAGCATTCTTGTTTACTTGTTTGGGGACTGTGGTAACTTATCCTTCGACTTGGTAACTTCTATTCTGACTGTCTGTTCTTTAGAGATAGTCACAATAGACAAATACAGAATGTGCACCATCACCTTGACTAGTAATAGAATAAACTGCACGTGTATCAATCACCAGCTGCATAAACAGTACACATTGAGAGGAATGAGATAGACCTAAATGCACTGCATGGCAAATGTTCAAAGGATAAGTTTTAAGAATTGTCACTCATGTAATCATAGTACATGTGGAGGGAATATTTTGAAGTATAAACTTCAGTTTGGAAGTTGGATGGTGGGACAACTGACTTTCAATCAAAAATGTGGGGGAAACTGGGATATGATATGTTCACCTTGTTAATTGTAAGAAAAGTTAAATCATATTTTAAGACAGTGTCTTAGTTGCTTTCTCATCACTGGGACAAAATACCCAACACCCACAATTTAAAGAGCATAGGTTTATTTTGGCGCAGGGTTTCAATTTAAGGTCAACAGAAGGCATGGTGGAAAGAGAGGACAGCTATTCAACCCATGGCAACCAGAAAGCAGACAGAAGAGGAGCCAAGGGTGATAGCACTCCCTTCCAGGTCCTACTCATAGTGACCACCTGCAACCAGCCCGAGCCTCCTGACAGCACACTCAGCTACTAAACTCTTATGAATGGATGAATCCATGGATGGGTATAGTGCTCCCGGAATCCAATCACCTTCTACACACATGAGAATTTGGGGGAACATTTTAGATCTAAACTATGACAGACAGAAATATTAAAATGCAATGAACATTTAAATATATTCATTAGAACACAATAGGCTATCAATTAGACTTTATAGAATTCTTAAGTACATATTAGTGTAGATACAAAAGGTTGGAGTTTATTCATTGATCCAGTAAATATTTATTGAGCATCTACTTTATTGACTATATTATTAATAAAATAATAACAGACTTATTAGACACTCAGCTTGAGGCCCAAAGAAATAGAGTATGTTCAGATTTCAGGAGGAAAGTGGCAAAGTCTGTTAGGAAAAAGAAACAAGAAAACTTGGATAAGAGATTTGGTTCAACATAAAAGGAGCAAAGAAATTAGAGGTAAGGTTATTCTGAGAAATATGTTAAAATCCAGAAATATTGTGACATTTATAGATAAATTTATATTTTTGTTTCATTTGAGCAATGAGGGTTCACAAGAATAATTTAAAGGACTCATGACCGTAAATGCTTCTGATTGGAGCATATTTTATAGCAGTGCATGGAGAGATGAATATAGTGATTATGTATTTAAAAATTTAACTTGACCTAAGTTTGGTTCTGCAAATACAAAAAAGAGTAGATAGGAAGTGGAGTACACAGGAATGTGCTCTTTCTGTGGTTAGACTCCCACAGGAAATAGGCAAAGGCATCAACCTCAAGAAACTAGAAACCCCAAGAAAGAAGCAAGAAAATAAGAAAGGTAAGAACAGAATTAATAAAATAGAAGACAAGTATATGGAAAAGAAGTTTAAAAAGTCAAATCTGGTTCTTTGAAAAGATTACTTATTTATAAATCCTTAGTGAGTATATTTAAAAAGAAAGGATAAAAATAACCAAAGTCAGAAATCAAGAGGGCACCATTACTACTTACAGATCCTCTAGGCATTAGAAGGATAATAATACATTATAATCAACTTCTTATCAATAAATGTAGATTTCAATAAAATCAATTTCTTTAAAAATATAATTTACCAAACTTTCAAAGGAAAAACACAAAATCTCAACTCTTATAACTGTTAAAGATACTGAGTAATCTCAAACTTTCTTAAAGGAATACTTCAGGAAAAAAGTCAAAAGAAATTTCAGGCCTGGGCTGATTTATCAGCAAATTCTAAAATACACAGAAAGAAGAACTAATGTCAGATTTATGGAAACTTTTCCAAATAATAAACAGGAGAAAAGCTTGGTATCAGAATGCAAATAGAACATTTTTTAAAGGAAAATTAAGGGTCAATTTCACACATAAATGTAGGCACCACAATCCTAAACAAAACCCTAGAAAACCAAATGCAACATTATATAAAAGAAAATATCTACTGTGAGTAAGTTGGGTTAATGCCAAGAATAAAAAATTGCTTGAGGGGCTGGGGATGTAGCTCAGTGGTGCCACGCCTGCCTCGCAAGCACAAAGTCCCGAGTTTGATCCCCAGTGCCCCAAAAAAGAGAAAACAAAACAAAAAACTGCTTGAACCAAAGTAAACAATTTATATTATAAAGAAAATTCGTATAATTTTAAGCAAAACATTAAAAAATTTAATGAAATTCAACATCTACTCACGATAAACATTCTTAGTAAATTACAAATGAAAAGAAACTGTGAATCTCACAAATTGATAAAGGCATCTACCAAATCCTTCAGTAAACCACACGCTTTAATAGCAAAACACTAATTTTTTGAAGCTGGATAAGGAGACAGAGAAGGGCCCACTTACCAAAATGTGTTTATCATGAAGTATACTAGAGCTCCTAGTCAGTATGTAAGGTAAGAAAATGAAATGAACTATCAAAGGATTGGGAAATAAGTAAATAAAACTTTATTTCCAAGTGATACGGGTTTTTTGAATAGAAATTTCAGGACAATTTAGAAATACATCCTTTGTATTAATGAATGAATTTGGGAGGTTTGCTAGGTATAAAATCAACAGAAAATTCAATCTTACTTCAATAAATCATCATCACTAGAAAATTAGTTTTTGAAGTAGTGTTCACTTTAAAAAATAGGAAAAAAATCAGCCTGGACTTCCTTTAGCATTTAGATGTAATAAAATGATTTTGGAAATTTGAAAAAAAAAAAGAAAGAAAATTAGTTTTTGAAATAACACTGTCTTCATTGGCATGTAAAAAACTTTAAAATATGAAATAAATCAACCTACGATATGCAGAACCTTTCCACTGAGAACCACAAAACAGTGGTAAATTCGTAGGTATACCATATTCATGTAATTCAAAAACTTAATACTGTAAAGATGTCCATTTTCTACAAATTCATCCTTGTGTTCAATGAAAAGGCAATCAGAGTTGCAATGAAACTTTTGTGGAACTTGACAAATTGACTTTTAAATTTCCATGGAAATATAAACAAGATACTCTTAAAGAAGGATGAGGTAGGACAACTTGCACTACCAAAAATGATTCTGAAGGCACAGTCAGAAGGCCGGAGTGGTGTGCATGCAGGTATAAGCAAGTAAAGTGATGGAAAAGGAAAGAAAGCCCAGAAATAAATGCACACAAATACGGGCACACTTCATTCTTGACAAAGGTGGCACGACCGAGGAGTTAAGAAAGAGAAAATCTTTAGCAAGTGGTGTTGGAAAATGGGATACCCATACGCAAAAAAAAAAAAAAAAATTGGTAAGTTACTCATTTTTTCACAGAAATTCCAGATTTACATATGCCAGATGAAGACTACACAGTTTCTTAAACATAGTATAGAAGAATATGTTCATGACTTTTGGATGGGGGAGATTTGTACACAAGGCACAAATACTCTACAGTAAGTCCCCAACTTATGAACATTTTAGTTGCAAACTTTTACAGGTGTACTGTGTACAACTCACTGTGGGCTTACAGTAAAGAAGACCAACAATATCAAATACCAAAGCCAAGGAATGGCAAGAACTTGCACACATAGCCAGAGTTTGGTAAGTGTCTATTTTTCAGCGAGATTCTGATGGAAGGCAGGTAGCACATTCAAAGGGGTAACTGAGCAGCATATAATGAAAGGACTTACAGTGGTGAGGGCAGAATTTAGTAAAACTAAAAGGTGGTGAAGTCCTGAGGAGGAACAGGATTGGGACCATTGCTACCCTCAGGACTTAAAGGGCAGGGAGGTGACAGTAACCTTGGAAATATAGTAGGGGACAGCTGGGGAAGTGCATCCCTGGCCTCTCTCCTCCCACCCTCTGGCTTCCTTCCAGAGCCTCTCACTAGCTGTATCCTTGGAGGACAGAGGACAGGAAGACCTCTGCGTCCACCCACACCAAACATGCGAGAATCAGGACAAAGAAGGATGGAGAGACGGTTGAAGGAGTGAGCCGAGGAAATTCAGCACGTCCACTCCTCCCAAAGGCTTTGCCACTCCACTCCACACAAGAAGTGTGTGTGTCTGTGCAGACACACCTACAGGAGTGTGCACAGCTGTGCTGCACAAGCACCAGAAGCATCCAAGAGTCCTGCAGGAAACAAGCATGTGCAGATACTGGCACAGTAATGAAGTAATGAAGAGGCAGAATACACAGCCACACACAACTACGTCAACACAGCGTTGAGGGAAAATGCCAAACACACTGGGCGTGGTGATGCACACCTGTAATCCCAACACTCTGGGAAACTTGGGCAGGAAGATGGCAAATTTGAGCCCACCCTGGGCACCTTGGTGACTTAAGAAGACCCTGTCTCAAAATAAAACAAAGGATATAGTTTAGTGCAAAGGTCCTGGGTTCCATTCCCAACACCAGAAAAAAATAAAAGCCTAATACAACGGAAGACAATATATGATCGATTTCTGAAAAGATTTTAAAAAAGGAGTCAAACATAACTGTAGTGACTAGGTTAGCACATTTATAGGAGAAAATCACAGTGAATAATAAGAAGTAATGATCATGAAAACGAAGGCAATATTTATCCTTGGAGGGAAGGGGGGCAAGAACTGGAAAGGGTCACAGGTGAGTGATCCCTGTATTACAGTTAATTAGGATATGCACCACTTTTAGGTACTTTTCTCTCTAGCTTATGTTTTAAAATTTTAAAAAATTCATTGAAAAGCCTGCATAACCACAAAGCATTAGACATGAGCAGTGCGTCCTTGCAGCCCATTCTCTCAGTTCAACACTGATGAAGCTGCGTACGTGAGCACTTCAGGACAGGGTCCCCAGCCACACAAAGGGAATCGGGAGGAAGGTGTAACGGGGCGCATTCACCATCCCATTTGCTTCCACATAAAGGGTCAGGTCGTGGAAAGCATTCTGGATCAAACAGTCTGCATATCCCACCCCTTCCAAAATAAAACTAAACCAAGTCCCCCAGGGATGGTTTTAGCCTCCGGTCAGCAGACCCAAACTCTTCAGAAGAGGTAAACGTCTATAGGAAGCCAGCGCAGTGTTCAGTGTGGAGAAGGAGCAGAGTCGCCCTGCCTGTGGCCACCGCACCCCAACCTCATCCCGCAGGGTGGGGAGGAGGGACAGGAGCATCGCTGTGAAGCATCCAGAGTTTGTTTCAAGACCTTCACCAGGACAACGCTAGATGGGGGGGGGGGCCTCCCTGAGAAGGGACACTCACGATGCAGGTGGCCTTATGCTAAAACCTACACAGCAGGCAGGAGTTCGCCACTTGCAGCTCTAGGGAGACAGTGCTTTAGGATGGAGGACGGGCAAGGGAAGTGTTTCTGAGCCACTCATACGTGTGGGGCATCAGAGGAGCAGTCAGGGCTGAGTGCGTGAGGTGGGACTGACATCTGTCACGTAGGCAAGGGCCAGACCACGTGAACTTAGCCCCCATGAGGTGGGAGCCACTGGGCTGCAGATGGGTGAGGCGCGTCAGATTCAACTGCGTGTTCTGCAGGTTCCTTCCAGCTCTGTCGGCTCTCATGCTCCCTCCTAAGATGCTGCTGCACAAAGCAGGAGGATCGCAAATTCAAGCTCAGCCAGCTTAGCAATTTAGCAAGGCCCTGTCTTGAAATAAAAAAGAAAGAGGTCTGAAGACGTGGTTCAGTGTGAAGGCCTTGGGGGCAAGCAGAAGAAGGAGAAGGAAGAGGTGAGGAAAACAAGATGCTGGTGCGTCCTCCAGGAAAGAGGAGGGCCAGGAGCTACTGGGGGGACGACTGGAGAGGGGCTGGAAGTAGGGATCAGGAAAGAAGAGCTGGGGACGGCTGTCAGCTGTGTGGCCTCTCCTGCAAAGACAATGTCTCCCCTTTGTGGAGCTGGAGGAGACTCGGAGACACACGACTGGGGAGGGCCAGTCCGGCTCCGCAATGGGAGTCCAAGCCACCCACATCTGCACATTCACAGGTCACTCGGGGCTGGCCCGAAACGGGTCCAAGACCGGGGCTCACCAGGTGGGCGGCTTTAAAGATCAAGACTGGACCTCATTTCTTAGTGGGGAGAGATGAGTGTAGACCACAGAGAAAAGGTCTCTGAAGTTGAGCCTTGAGATCCCCCAGCAGAGAATCCCAGTCTAGGAGGAGGGAGATCTCCAGGCTTAGCCCATTGGAGCCTGGTGGCCACAAACTTTACGTGAGACACCCCCCCCCCCGCACAGAGTTCTAGGTCTTCCCCAGCAACGGTCAGCAGCTTGAAAGGAAGCTGTCCCGTAAGGAGCCACACCTGGGTCGGTCATCACAGACCACTAGGGGTCTGTTATCGGCCAAGTTCCGGAGATGGAGGTGCAGAGAAGTCACAGCGAGTGAACAGGAAAACT